GAATGCGCCCCAGCCCAGGGTGCCACTGGCATCAGTGAACAGCTCCAAGTCCGGAGATGGTGTCCAATCTGGGAACAGGAAGAATGATTTTCCGTTCCATTGTTCCAGGAGCCGTAGCCACCATTGGATATCTTCCTGGCACTCGGTAGTCGGACTGATGCGGTAGTGAGGCTGCTGGTAGCGACTGCAAATAGACCACAGGCGCCGCATAAATGTCCGGCCGGGTACGATGACTCTTGCAGCGAAGGAGAGTTTCCCCAGAAGAGATTCGAGTTCGCGCTGAGACATGGTGGTGTTGATGCTCGCTGCAGTCAACAGGCGCTTGATGTCGGCCAATTTGTCGTCAGGGAGCCGGGCTTCCATCTTCTCACAATCCAGGATAATGCCCAGGAATGTCAGGGTACGAGACGGGCCTTCCATCTTTGCAGGCGCGAGCGGGACTCCGAGGTATGAGAATGCACGGAGAAGAATGGCCAGCTGCCGATTCGCCACTGCCTGGCCCACGCTCACGCACAAGTAGTCGTCCAGGAAATGCAGCAAATTAGGGATGGAGAATTCGTGGTGCATTATCCATTCGATGGTGGCTGCCACTGCATCAAATACCGCCGGGCTAGAGCGGAGCCCAAATGGCAAGACACGGTCGTAGTAGTACTTCCCCTGCCACAGGATGCCGAGGAGATGCCAATCCTGTGGGCGGACAGGTATTTGAAGAAAAGCACTCTTCACATCGAGTTTAGAGAGATAGACAGGAGACGGGGAGGACATAATGATGTTAATGGCTTCATCAATGCTGATGTACTGCAAAGAGAAAGGCTCGGCAGGGATCCCGTCGTTAACGCTGGAGCCGGCAGGGCTGGACAGGTGGTGTATCAAGCGTAGCTTGCCATTCTTTTTCGGAACAGCGCCAATGCCAGAGCAGTACATAAATGGGAATGGGGGCGAGTCAAATGGGCCAGCCGTGTAGCCGGCGTTGCAGGAAGCGGTGAGCTGTGCAGACACAAATGCAGAGTGCTGGAATGCTGATGAGAGGTTGGACGAGTGCTGGTTAGTTATGCGGTTGCCGGTGAAGCCAATGTCAAAGCCGCAGCGAAGGCCGTTAATAACATACGAAGCCAATGAACTGTCAGGGTGGTTACGGAGCAGTGATTCGAAGCGAGAAACAGAGAGGGGTGTGTGGACAGCAGGACATGCGCTTGTGAAATCAGTAGAACGTGAAGTGCAGGGAGAAATATGTACAATCGCGGGAGCTGCAGCCAAAGCAGCAGAGTTACTGGCGCCTACCGCACTTAGATCCGTTGTGGTCCTTGGACCCGCAGCGGTTGCAGACATGGGCGTACTTGCACGTGCTGAGACTGCAACGCCCAGCGTTGAAGTTCCGGCAGATCGGTTGGCCATTAGACACCGTACGGACTCCATTGAAGGCGTGCTGGTTGTTACGTTGCGGACGAAAGGGACACTGGCCGCCTCCGGGATGGATGAGGCGGCAGGACTCACATGTGGGCCTTGATCGGCTAGTCACGGACATTTGCCACAGATTTATGTCGATGACGTCAAAGCGCTTGCCTGGCTGAGCAGAAATGGCAGAGCGAAACTGGGTGTCGTACGACAGCCAAGCCTCCGGATAGTATTGCCTGTTGGCTGCAACTATGGTGGCTTGGTAGGAGAGCATCTCCTGCAGGCGGGACGGGTTGGCAGAACACACGACGTTCATGAAGAGAGTCCATGCCTCCAGCCATGTCGGCAAGTCGTGGACGCGTCGACGAACGGGCTGCGCCGCTCCACCTTCCACCACCTCCAGAGACTGGCCGCCACTGCTGAACTGCAGCTGAAGCTGGCGTGGGGCAGAATACGAGGTGGCGATAGTATCGGGCAGCAGCTGGGTGAAATCTACAAAGTCACCCTTCAATATTTTCTCTCGTATAGTCTGGGGAACGGAGAGATTACCAGCGTTGGAAGACTCCGCCGAAGGTTGAGTTCCAGCGGATCCAGGGGCAGTGATGGTGGCCAGCATTGGAGCGATCGCCTCCGACAAGGCAACGGTGACGGCGGAATGTACTTCCTGCCGCACAAACTGGCGCAAATCGTCATTCCTGCTCCGGTCCGGGATCTGGGGAGTCGGAGAAGCTGCTGCAGCACTCTCCAGATCCTGCTCTTGCTCCTGCTCGTGCTCCTGCCGCAAGGATGGCGTGGCCGACGGAGATCGAGGTTCCCGTGCCGCCGAGCTCGACGTGTCCTGGATACTGAGCAGCAAACGGGCAAGAAGCTGGGGCTTTGTTCCGCTCGAATTCAGCCCACGGCCTTCCAGCTCGGCCCGCAAGTCCGACACGTTCATACGGCGTGCTTCAGAGGCAGACAACATGTTTGTCGTGCAGTAAACGGCTGCGAGGAATCTACAAGGAGTCTGAATAATTAATTCTATTCTCAACAAACAAATTCCGGTTGCTGCTCAGTGACACTGCAAAGGAAAGCGCAAGCCAAAGTGAGCGCAGCAAAAGCTACCCAAGGCGATTTGGGCGCGCATGCGCAGCAGTTGAGTGCACGTGTAAAGCCAGCTCGGTCGCAGCTAGCATGAGATAGAGAGCAGCGCATCGGTCTTATCGCTAACTAGGGTTAGCCCAAAAGCTAACCCAACATTTTTATACTTGGCTATGATAATAGCTATGAAAAGTATGAATGCTGCAGACATCACCAAGCAACATGACAATTTGTTCAAGGTTTGAGATTGTGTGTTTCCAGAATCGATTTTCGAGCTCCGATCATCAGTGGACATACGGAACTAAAGTGATCAAGGGAAAAACAAAGGTTAAAAATCCAAAGAAGTGTGACACATGACGCGTAAGTATTACAAAAAGTGTGGGCTAAGATAAAGAGTAAGTGTGACAAATGGGCATGAACAGTGCAGAAACAACTCATGAACACAGGGTGCAAACTCACGAAAATAACCTAAGTGCTACAACATGTTCTTTTCGCTTACACTTGGTTATGAGTGCACAATTGGTTTTATCAAGAGTACATGAAAACCAGAGTGTGCAGCTTGGGGCCTTTTCTGCTATGGGTGTCTGTCACGGCGAAATTCCGTGATTACATCATATTTGGCCCAGATCTGAGGCGGGAAATGGCGTAGTGCGTACAACTGAGCTGCAGTTGTGCAGAAAGAGACCTGCTTGAATCCTGCTTGTACGCACTACATCACTAAAATGATGTAATCACGGAATTCCGCCGTGACAGCCACCCATCCGAGCTGCACACTCTGGTTTTCATGTACTCTTGGTTTTATCCATTGCTAGTTACAACTGTTGTCTCCTTGTTGGTTATTTGGATCCACAAAGGCAAGCAATTGTCAGCACCGATCCATGAATGCAAGCAATTGCCAATATGGATCTATGGAGCAAAACGAGCATGCGAGCACTACGAACGGGATATTCAGATTGGACATGTAAACAGCAGACATGTCAACACGGGATACAGTACACAAATTTGTTTCTTGGAACAAGACACGGGAGTTTGAGGTATAAATAGCAGACACGTCAAGGCAAGACGTGTAGTCAGCAGAAAGGTCCTGGTTTAGAGGCCTCAGCCGTAGAATGGTCAGGGTTCGAGGCGCTGCTAGCAAATACCGTATTTCCCCGTTTATAAGTCGCACTCGATTGTAAGTCGCACCCCCATTTTCAGGTTTGAGCAATATTGTTTTGATATATTCACTTCAGTAGTAAGTCACGCTCGATTGTAAGTCGCACCCCCTTTTTTACCCTTGGAGTTTAGTGTAAAAAGGTGCGACTTTTATTCGGGGAAATACGGTAGGTCAGGGTTAGAGGTGCCATGTGCAGGCAGGTATAGTGGGAAGGTCTAACACTAAGATTGAGAAACAGAGGCTACCAGGTTCAAGTCCTGCTTGGAAGTGGAAGGATTTTTTCCAGGCGTGCTGCGACCCACAGTTATTTGGGAATTTGTGGCCTGGCACGAGGGAAACATGGATGCAGTAAATGGGATTTTCGGACTTTGACCACTTTGTGGTAGGTCTGATCTACTCACTTCAAAAGACCACACTACTACTGTGATCTGTATCTTTCTGTTGTGTGTGGGTGTGTCTGCGGTGTACGCAGAGGCCAGCTAGCTGGCAAAAATCGAATTTTCGGACTTTGACCACTTTGTGGTGGGTCTGATCTACTCAGTTCAAAAACACGCTTTAGGAGCAACATCTGCACTTTTCATTCTAGAGAGTAATGGTGTTCCTGCGGATACGGAAAATTCGGCCTCCAGCCCAGCCTCACACGGATTGTGAATTTCTTTTTTGGAGGTGCCATTAGCAGATAGATCACGGTTAGTGGTGTTATCAGCAGATATGTCAGGGTTAGAGGTTAGAAGTTAGAGATCCTCACCTCATAGTTTGCAGCCTGATCTCTCAGCTCTGCCTTGTGTCGGGATATCAACCTCTGAATTTCCGGCTCCAAACCTTTCACTGTCACCTCCTGAGAATAACAACGCCAATGCAGGACACATACACACAGATATTTTCCGAAAGAAGGATCCACAAGCGGGATTCGAACCCAGCACCCGTGTCCTGTAGGGACAGTTCCCTTACTGGTCAGGCTACCGGGGATCACAAACACATTCGCTATCTGCACAACAAATTTGAATGAGCCATCATCATGATCACAGCCACCGTCAACACTACCAGCAGAAGCACCTGTATCACAACGACCATCACCACGCACACCGTCATAATTATCATCATGACCACCATCACACACCACCAGCACACACCACCAGCACACACCACCAGCACACACCGCCAGCACACACCACCAGCACACACCACCATCACACACCGCCAGCACACACCACCATCACACACCACCATCACACACCACCAGCACACACCACCATCACGACCACCAGCAAACACACCACCATCACACACCACCATCACACACCACCATCACACACCGCCAGCACACACCACCATCACACACCACCATCACACACCACCAGCACACACC